ACAATGGAACAGCTCCCGTCCCACTTCCACCCTGTAGTTACCTTTTGCCTGTGTCCTTCCCTCCATGCACTCCTGCCCCCTGAGCTGTCTCCCTGTGCATACATAACCCTTCTATTCTCCCATGATTGTTCTCTCCACAGAATGTATCTGCCTAATGTATATGTTCAGCTCATATGCCTATCTTTTGTTTGGCTGGAAGCCACAGGAGTGGGTTCAATCCAGACCTGAAGGGCAGCTAGGGACCACAGTCTCAGGGGTTCCATCAGGCTCTATCAGACCAGCAAACCTGGTCCTTTCTTTTTATGATTTTGAGTTTTGTTCCACATTGTTCTTCCACTTTATCTAGGATCTCCTATATAGATCCCCCCCCCCAAGTGGTTGACAGTAGTATCTGGGTACCATCTAGTTCTTCTGGTCTCATAGTCGTATAGGCTGCAGATCACATGGTGTACCAGTCACTAGGACTAATTGTTTTCATGCATCTTTGGTTTTCTTCATTCTTCTTTGCTCTGTACGAGGAGAGACCCATTGTTGAATCTAGATTGCCACTTTCAAGCTTCTAAGATCCTTGTCGCTACTCGCCAAAGTAGGATGTGGAACGATGTTTTTTTTTTTTTACTATGTTATGTCAGTTGAGCAAGATGTCCCCTGCAACTATAGTCCCAAGCCCACAGATCCAAGTGCTCACTCCCTCTGGGTGGCTGGCTGTGGCCAAGAAGTGCCTACAAGCTTGACACTTGTCAGCTCTACTATATACCTGGGAACTCTTACAGAACATACCAATACATTTGTAGAAACATTGTCTGCCAACCCTATACATGGTCTTGGGCACACTCCCGCCTGCATAGACATACCTAAGAGTTCAGCCTATCTACCCATCTACCCACCCACATATCATTATTTGCTTTCACTGACAGTGCAGTACTGTATGTGCAAAAGAGTTCATCTTTGTTGTCTGTTCCTCTCTATGTCTTACTCTTCCTCAGTGTTACTATGTTGATCACTCACATTCGGTACATTGCCCTTCTCTTCACCCAAATCAATACTTGTCTCTACCTATCTAACAGTGTTCCCTCCCCTCCCCTCCCACCTCTGGTAACCAACAAAGAAAATTTCCTTCCATATATAAACCTTTCCTTGACTTTTTTCTGTAATGGACTAATACAAAATTTGTCCTTCTGTGATTGACTTATTTCACTTAGCATAATGTCCTCCAAGTTCATCCATGTTATGTGGTGTTTTGCAGATTCTACATTATTCTTTAGGGTTACATAGTATTCCATTGTGTGTATGTACCATAGTTTGGTTATTCATTCTTCTGTCGATGGACACCTAAGTTGTTTTCTTTTTTTTGCTATTGTAAATAGTGCTGTGATGAATATGGGTGTGCATGTATCTGTTCTTATCCTGGCTCTCACTTCTTTAGGCTATATAATGGAATGGAAAGGCTGGGTCAAATGGTATTTCTAATTACAACTTTTTAAGTAATCGGCCATACTGCTTTCCACAATGGTTGTATATCATTTTACAGTCCCACCAGCAGTGTATGAATCCCAATCACTCCTCCTCATGAGCATTTGTTATTTTGTGTCTTGTTGAACTTTGCTACTAGTGCTGGGGTAAGATGGTATCTCATTGTTGTTTTGATTTGCATCTCTCTAATGGCTAATGATCGTGAGCATTTCTTCATATGTTTGTTGGCTGCCTGAATATCCTCTTTGGTGAAGTGTCTATTCATGTCTTCTGACCATTTTTTAATTGGATTGTTTGTCTTTTTGTTGAGGT